CGCCGCACTGTCGGAGGGTCAGTGCTGAGGGAGCGCCGCAATGTCGGAGGGTCAGTGCTGAGGGAGGGCTGCACTGTTGCAGGTTCTGTGAGACACTGAATTGGAGACTCTGCTGTCCTCTCAGATAAGCATGAATAATCCCATCATTTAAAAGAGCTCAGTTGGCTGGATGGACATATTGCAATGCAGAGTGACAGCTACAGTGTGGGTTCAATCTCTCTGGCTGAGATTACCACGAACAACTCTCCTTCTCAACCTCTCCCCTCAACTGAGGCGTAGTGACTCTCAGGTTAAGCCACCTCCAGTCATCTCTCTGTAATGATGAGGCAGCCCTGTGGACTGGTAGGACAATGCTGACTTTGCATACTTTCAATCTCAGTTTTCTGTCTGTTAACCAATCCTCTATCCATGGTCATCAATACCCAGCACCTCCTCAGCCAGTCTCATGCAGACCGTTTTATTTATGAATCTTCCGCGTGGGATCTTGTCAAGAGCTTCTGAAAATTCAAATGCATGACACCTACTGATTGTCCTTTATCTACTCTACAAATAACACCCTCAAAAAAATTCTCCAACAACTTTATCAACCATGATCACACTTTCATAAATCAATGTCAACTCTGCTCCACTTTGCCATTAAAAAAAGTCTAGTTATCATATCCTTTAGAACAGATTCTAACATTTTTCTGTTCAGACAATGAGCTAACAGATCAGTAACTCTTCACTCCATTTCCTTCCATTTTCAATACTGTAGTTACATTTGTTTATTTTTGTTGGCACATTCCATTCAAGAATCTATACAATTACTAAAGATAGCTACCAATGCATCCACCAACTCTACTTCAACTTCCTTGAAAATTTTCTGGAAGAAAGCTCATCACATCCAGGAGATTTATCAATACTGCTAATTTTCAAATACCTCTTCGCTAATATCAATTTCCTTTTATTTTCTCAGTTATACAAGTGCCTTGGTCATCAAGTATTCCTGGGAGAATTTCTGGTTCATGTTTCGACAGAAGCTTTTATAGTTAACAGTTATGTTTCTCACAACCGTGCTTTCACATTCTCCTTTCCTATTCCCTGTCAGTGTTTTAATCTTATTTCTTGTATTCTTATAAACCACTTTATTTGATGTAATGCTATTTTAAAGTCTTTTGTTAACATTAGTTGACTCGCTATCCCTTGGGTATGTGGTTTATCTTGTTTCTCCTTAAATATGTTGATATTATTCGCCTCAATCAATCCCTATGGGAGTAAATTTCTCACCAATCTGTAGGTAAAGAAATTTCTTGTGACCGGGATAAATACCCGAAAACAAAGAATTAACAGGGCTCTGCAGAAGGAGCAGGGCAGTGTGGAACAGACTGCTGCGCTCTTTTGAAGAGACAGTACAAGGATGAGAGGCTGAATGGCCTCGTTCTGAGGAACAGGGCCGAGCTATGCATTTTGTAATGATCCTATGATCTGTCTTCTGGCAGAGTGTTAAAGATTAATCATTAATGCTTGTAGGATCCTGGATCCTGGAGTCTTGGCAACTGCACTGGCTCTTCACCTCTACACTCCCCTCCGGAATATTTTATCCTGGTCTTTCAGGGAGGAGGGACAAATTGTCCCAGTTACTGGGGGATTGTACACTTCAAGATTTTTATTGAGTTTTGCTGTTGAGAGACAATCCCATGAGGCAGCATTGGTTTAAAATGGCTGAACCACGTCCTTTATTTAATTAACAAGCAAGGGAGGATGAATAACCGCTAACACTGTTTAAAGTCTCTCCTCTTCCTTCTGGAAAGAGGTCTGGATGTTTACCATGAAGATACGATGCCCAGTCATCCGGGGGAGAAAAGTTCGAGCCTCTTTGCTGCTATTAAACTGTCAATGTTGCATCATGGCATCTGGGTGATTAGGCAGTGACTGTCTTCCTGTCAGAGGCCACAGCACTGGAAGAAAAGAATGCACCAGAGGTTCATCAAAACAAAGCAATATGGGGAGCATTCTCCCTTGTTAGTACTTACCACTGGAATTACAAATGGATCCTTTGATAAATCTCTGGTTTCTAACATTGCTAATGTTTCTAAATTGTTAAATTGCCCATAGTGTTGCTGCACTTGGCTTCCTTTCCCAAGAGTGCTGACTCGTGTTGGGATATAATCCCATGAGCATCAACCTGTGGGAGGGAGTCTGACTAAGAACCAACCTTGAAATGCTCTGACTGACTCTTCCCATCAGCCTCAAAGCTGGTGGCCATTCAGCCCCTCAAACCTCCTTCATCATTCAATTACATCATATTGAATCTTTGTCTTAATTCCATTTTCATTTCGCAGCTTGTAACAAAACCCTGTCAATCTTGGTTCTGAAGTTTTCCATCAACCTCCCCATCTGGACCATGTTTCTGGTGTTTTTGTGCACACGTGTGTGTGTGTCCGTGTGTGTGTCTGAGTATGTGTGTGTGTCCATATGTGTGTCTGTGTGTGTGCACACACGAGTGTGTGTGCGCACGCATGTGTCCATGTTCATGTGTGTGTGCACTCGCAAGTGTGTGTCCATGTGTGTGTGTGTGTCCGCGATTGCATATGTGTGTGTGTGTCTGTGCGTGTGTGTATCTGTGCATGTGTGTGTGTGTGTGTCTGTGCGTGTGTGTATCTGTGCATGTGTGTGTGTCCGTGTAGGGGTGTGTGTCCGTGTGTACGTGTGTCCGTGTGGGGGTGTGTCCGTGTGGGGGTGTGTGTCCATGTGTATGTGTGTCGTGTGGGGGTGTGTGTCTGTGTGGGTGTATCCATGTGGGGATGTATCCGTGTGTGTGTGTGTGTGTCCGTGTGGGGGGAATGTGGAAGAGAGTCCCACATTTCCAGAATCGCTTGTGAAGAAATGCTTCCTGTCTCCTGTGCTGAGTATCTCGAATTGCTGGATGACAATATGGGCTTTCAGAAATCTTTTACCCTCTTTCATGCTGATGGGTCTCAGTCCATTTGTGTCTGCTTAAAGTGACATTATGCTCCCCAGTTTTGTACCTTACTATTCACCAAAACTATATGGGACTCTAATTACTACAGACAGATTAATGTCTCCACTGGAACCAGATACAGACAGACTTTTTCATGCTTTTGTTCAACTGATGCCAATTAACTCTAAATTCCAAATTTGTGACCTTCACCATCAAGAAGGACGAGGGGCAGCAGATACAGGAACACCATCCCCTGCAAGTTCCCCTCCAAGCCACTCCCCACCCTGATTTGGAAATATATCGCTGTTCCTTCAGTGTCGCTGGGTCAGAATCTTGGAGCTCCCTCCCTAAGGGGATTGTGAGTGTCTCTACACAAATGGACTACAGCGGTTCATCCCCACGTTCTCAAGGGCCTATTATGAATGGGCATGAAGGAATAAAAGAACATTGAGCACAAAGGGCCAACTGTATCCCATTGAAAAGCAGTAACTCATTTGATATGAGGACAGGGCAGGAGACTGTACTCTCTGCTACTCCCACTGCAACCCTGCCCACCATCACTCTCTCTCTTCCCCACCACAAACCCACTGCCATTCTCACCCCAAGTTGCAAACAGCCATGTTTGGCTGTTTTCATTTCTTAGAATTGCTACAATGTGGAATCAGGCCATTCAGCCCATCAAGTCCACACTGACCCTTCGAAGAGCATCCCACCCAGACCTACCCCACTACCCTATCCTTGTAGCCCTGCCTTTCCCATGGCTAACCCACTTAGCCTGCACATCCTTGAACACCATGGGCAATTTAGCATGGCTAATCCACCTAACCTGCACATCTTTGGGCTGTGGGAGGAAACCGGAGCACCCGGAGGAAACCCACACAGACATGGGGAGAATGTGCAAACTCCACACAGACAGTTGCTCCAGGCGGGAACTAAACCTGTTGCTGTGAGGCAGCAGTGCTAAACACTGCACCACCATGCTGCCCAATTTAACACAACTACATGTGGCATTCAATAGTGGCATCTGGCTCCAAAAAGTTGTTTCTATCATAGACTTAACTCATAATCTTACATTTTAATTTTGGAAGCACTGTATAGGGTGGAGTTAGGGTTTTAGGAGCCATGGAACTTGGTGGCAGTGCATTCAGCAAAGTAACCTCCTTCCCGTTCCCAAAATCTGTAATCCAAAATGATAAACACTCTCTTTACAATTTTAAGACAGAATGTATCCCAATTTTAGTCAATGAGTGTCTTGCACTTTATTTTGAGTCTCTGAAAGCAATACTGAATGTTCAGCAATAACAAAAAACACAAAACACTGCAGATGCTGGCGATCTGAAACAAAAGCAGAAATTGCTGGAGAAACTCAGCAGATCTGGCAGCGTCCGTGGAGACAGAAACAAAGCTAATGTTTTGAGACCTATAGGATTCTGTTTTGGAACAAAGGAGAGTTATATTGGACTGAATGGACTATCTCTGATTCTCTCTCCATTTAATGAATTTTAAGCTAAGAATACAAACCTGCCCTTCAGATCTCATAGGCTTCCATCAGGTAATCCTTTGGTACTATGCCAATTACACCTTCCATCTCACCAACCCACCATCCATAGGGATTGTAGTCCTGAAAAAAAAACAAGGACAATGAGACTGCAGTTAAGAACATTCTGTTCCTGAGTTTGAAGTTAATGAGTTCAAGCCTTATTGATGGGACCTGAGCACATGCAGCAGGCTGGTCTGCCTGGGGGTAAGTGCTGTGGCAGTGCTGCACGGCCACAAGTGCCATCTTCCAGTGGAGACTGTAAACTAGAGTCGCATTCACCGTCTCAGGTGGATGCAAAAGATCCCACAGCCACTATTCAAGCATGGCAGATAGTCACTGTGTCACGGTCAATATTTAACCCTCTGCCAACCTCGTTATATTGTCATATTACTCATTGTCTTATTTCTGTACCTGGGATCCTGCTCTATGCAGGTTGCCTGCTGCATTATCTAAATTATAGTGGCAACTACGCTATTTAAAATACTTAACTGATGATAGCGTGTTCTGGAGGGTCTTGAGGTAGTGAAAGGTGCTATATAAATGCAAGTTCTAACTTCTTAAATAAATGTAATATGAAGAGGGTTCCATTGTCATTAACAGAATTAAATGAGATATGGATCCAAACTGATCTTATGGGCTTTTAAAAAAATGTGATTTGATTTTGAAACTTATAAACAAATCTCTGCTGCACTACTGAACCTGTATGCTGCACAGACTGCAACATGATCATTAATATTTCAACAGATGGGTTACAAGAGAGTAAAAAAGAAATCTTGGAAAATGATTTGCACAAAACACTGAAATTATTCTTCTTTGTTGTCAATGATGTGACTTTGAGTCAGTAAGTATCTGGGACAAATCACAGAGAAAGGACAGCTTGCAACACATGCAGACCATATTATTCAGCATCTCCCTTCTCTCCATCAGTGCATTGTGCCAACGATCCTAAGGTCATAATGACAGCAAAATGAAGAGTAGTAAAATCCTAAAGCTCCCATTTCGAATATTTACATTGGTGCTGGCATTAAACTGTGCAGCTGCTGGCTAATGATACTAGACTTGTTATATACTGAACTCATCTCGGGAATTCTGATTGGTGCCAGCTTCCTAGGGATTGTTTTTTCTCTGTTTCTCTCTCTGCCCCTTCAGTTACAGTGTGGTTTCATTACAGCGAGATGTTTTAGTGTGCAATTCTCCCAATTGATCCTTTAATAGCCTCGTAGTCAAACTGCCACATCTCCGAGTTTGGTTTGCGCCTGTTGCAAATGAGAGGGACAAATCGCCTGTAAATGTGCCACACTTGGAGACAGCCCGAAAAGCACACTGTCAAACTGTCTCTGTGCTCCAGGACCATGTCGCTAAGTGACTGCCCACTGGTCCTCCTGTGTTATCAGACCTGCAGCTACCGGGAATGAGAGGCTGGTAACAATTATTTTTGTTTGCCCAGTTGCCTTTTGTCATCCTATCTGCTTGCAGCCTGGCTGAAAGATGTTGGTAACACAGTAGGGTCCCATCATTCATCAATCTTTAACCAGCACACCACCCTGTACTTGATGTATGAAAGGAGAAACACTATGAATCAAAAGAACCAGAGATTAAGAAGGCTTACTGCTGTTATTATGACCCACTGATAACATAACCATATTTTATATCATGCATAACAATGCCAGTGTTGGAACCAAAGCTGCATCCTGCAATATCCCTGTGTTAATCTATGTCGTACAATGGACATTAATATTGCCAGGCAAGGTACTTACAATCCCCTGTGTACATTAGGAGCAGGAGGAGACCATTCAGCCCCTCCAACCTGCTCAGACATTTAATTAGATCATGATTGAAATGTACCTCAATAGCCCCATTCACAAACTCCAAGTCTTTCAATGTGCTTCACAAACAATAACACACCTTTGGAGGTGTAGGCACTGGGGTAATGTAGAGAGTGCGGCAGGTAATTTACACACATGAAGTTCCCACAAACAAGATAAAGACCCAGATAATCTGCCCTTCTGGTACTGTTGAGGGGTTGCAACCTGATCACCTTATTAACATCTGGACAGTTAAATTTCAAAAGCTGTGAGCTTGTGAGAGTTTGAATCATGTGAGTGAGTGTGTACAGGCGAGTGTGAGACTATGTCCGTATCAGTGAGTGTAGACAGGCGAGCCTGAGACTGTGTCTGTATCAGTGAGTGTATACAGGCGAGGGTGAGACTGTGTCCATATCAGTGAGTGTATACAGGCAAGTGTGAGAC